AACAGCTTCATTATTTTGGCTTCGAAGTTGTGTTGTTGGAAGCACGTGTAAGTTCTTGCTTTTCTTGTTTTTCTATTTCTATTCTAGTTTTTTTCATTCATTCTTCTAAACTTCTAGAGTTCAACAGCATCTTTAAGATGGACTTTTCGAGCATTAAATTCTTTCTTATAATCCTACCAAAAGGCCTTTACAGGATGGAAAACTCATGTGGAACGCATTAGGCTGTTGCACCTTAAAAATCCGATTTGTTTGACGTAAAGGGAGAAAGGTTAACTAGTCTTTCTACGACAGTTGGTGACAATTTTGTTCTGAAAGTACAGCACTTTTTATATCTGGCAAGGTCTTCTCATTCGTTTCAAATGCTCCTTTTCCTCTTACAAAAATTTATGTAATTTTAAATTTGTCTGGATCTCCAAATTTACGGAGGATACTAAATAGATTTCGTATTTCTACATATTTTTGTACAAAAGCGACGGTGAGAGGTAATGATACATTCGGGAACAACTTCGCTTTCTGTTTGAAGAAATCTCACCGCTTCGGTAACTTGGTTATTTAAAACACGACCACGAGAAAAGGCTGCTAATATTTCCTTTCGCTTAGCATTTCGCCGTAGAAAAGTATGAGAAATTACATATTTCCAAAGGTCTTTAGGTCCTAACAGCGTTTACAATTGGCTCACCGCAAGTTGAGATATCTTTACTTAATGTTGAAAAACTTAACTATTATTTTATTGGCTACTTATGAGTTGGAATAACTTCATATCGTCTATAATATCGTCTCATATCATCGTTGTATTTATCCAGGTAGTGGTGTTTAGGTAACCGTACTAATTACAGAAACGGGTTGGTGGTCGAATGCACACCTATCACCAGAAGGACACCCTTGTTTCTGCGGACTTGGGAGCTATGGTGGTAACAGGAATAAGTAATGTTCTTTTCTGTTTTTTGACCACACACTTCGCTTACTTTACTTCTCTACCAATTTTGGTCAAAGTTTTTCTTTCGGTTCTTAAGTTCTAGTTGGACGACAACGCTATATGTTTGGTTTTTTTCTTTTAACACCTACTAGTATCATTAAACTTAGGTTTCATTTTTGAATAGACGGGAACCCTATTGTGACTATGATGAGACAAGCACAGTGTACTCCTGTTCGCGTCTCGCAAGCGTGTCCAATTTATGATGAATACGGAAAACTTGTTGATCAACGAAAGGATGAGCTCGTCGCCGAAGCTTTCAAGTTAGTGAATGTATAAGCATATTATTTAATATCTTTTTCTTAACCAGGTTCACTGTAACTGCGGAGAGGTTTGTTGCATAGTTGAGAATGCCCTGAATTTTCAATTTACAAATCAATGAATCACTCTTTACTGGTCAGGACACCGCTTCAAATCCATGTTAAAGCGAAAATTATGCTCCCTGTCTAGTAGTGTTGAAAATAGCATAATTTCCACTTCTTCGGAGTTCTGCTAGTCTTGCCATTGTGGCTCCCTAGAGTCCTGAGGTCAGCCTGGCCGAAGTCTGCTCATGGTCTTTACCACCCCAGGTAGTCGCCGCATCCGTGGATCAGAGGGAGGCCCTTCACTATGTGATTAGTTTGATACCAGGACAGTGGTGGTTCATGGTAGTGGTTTACTCTTAGCTGGACTTCCTGATAGGAACGCCAGACTCCTTTGCAGCGTGGGAGACCCTGGTGAAGGAATGGATCCCGCCCGTTGTACGTCGTAGCCGAAAACACAAGAGCACTGCCCGGCCACGATGAGACGGTAAACCGTTGGAAGGATTGAAAATATAACAGTTGGCAAAAGTAGTACTGGTAATTTGTAGTGTGATGATGTTTAATTTTAGGAAGATTGGAGACACATCTTCTTATATTGTTCATGAGCTGAAAATAACTGAAAATAATGGGAAAAAACTCAGTTTGGCTGATGCCTACAACAATATATTAGAGTGAGTTTTACATGATTTCATAGTTTTCTGTTGCAGAATAGAAGCTACTAGGATGCTCATGTTTGTCTATTATGTCGTTGTATATTGTTAAGATGGAAAGATGCAAGCCTTATCGCGATTTTCAGCATGCTAGAACTGCGAATGCAACGAAGGCGCCTTAAATTTTGGCAAATCTACGAGGAAATACTTGAAAAAATGAAACAAGTGCAAAGCGAGGTAAGCTCGCACTTAGCAGTTTATTACATTCCTTTTTCTGTCGCTTGATACTCGTTTAGAGGTGGCGGATAGCACAGTAGTAGTAATGTCCGTCAACACGAGTGGTAGCGCGATTCCGCTCTGGGTCAACCAAGCCTCTCCCTCCGAGTGAGGAAATTGGTATCGGACTTGTTTGGGAAAAAAAGTCATTCTCTGCAATCCAATTGGGAACGCTCCAGTCTGGCTATCTCAGGATTCGAGGGAAAATTGCTCGACCAGCTTTCTACGACACTTAAGATGAAATGAAATTTCTCAAGCAGCAACTGAAGCTACACGTAAAAAGTTGGAAGTTCTTCCTGGGTAATGGGTGCGAGGAAACGAATCGAATGTGAGAAATGCTGGGATTCATATAGTAGACGTGAAGGCGGGTAATATAAAAATCATAATAAAAAAATGGTACTCGTTTTCGTCCAATTTGGCTGGGAGTCTGTTTTCTAGAAGTTGAATAGCTTTTACACTCATATTGTATTTAGAAGAATATTTATGGCTTATAGCTATTTAGTATATCATTGCTTACTTGAAACGAAACCTTACTTGTTATTCGCTCTACCATGTAAAACATAACGTGTTTTTCGTTTTTTTGGGTTCTTCCTTGTACTTCTATGCGCATCTCCATTCAACTGCGACTATGCGTGACAGAAACGTGGCTTAGTGGAAGTGCTTTATTGGCTACTCTGGGTTGTGGGAGCCACTTACTGGGTTTAGTTGGCTTGTTGTTCTTCCGTTTTTAGGCTGTATTTAACAAGGTTCGTACCCAACATAGTGTACATTCGTATATATTTCCATATCTCTTTTCCCATTCATTCATGGCGCTTTAGAAATTTATGTTTTCCTTAGAGTTGTCCAAATTCTAAAGTGACCCCAGTAGACGATAGTGCTTTGATAATGTTTAATTTTCTCATTCTCTCGAAATTCTCATTCATTTCTTGTTTTAAGGTGACAGTTTTTGAAGATATTACATTTTTTTAGAGATATTTGTAGTTCACCAATCTATGTGGGCGCGTGTAGCGCAGTTGTCGAAGGCGCGCTGCCATGCACACAGGATCGATCCCCGCGCCCAAGACCGCCAAGCCTTCCATGCCTTCGGGGTCAGCAAATTGGTAACAGACTTGTCCGGGAGGGTATCAGCACTGGCTCGATACATCGTTAGACCACCACGAGTCATTGTAAAGGGTAGATACGCATTCAGTCAACTCTAACGATGCTTCATGAAGTCGAATGCATGGCGAATCCCTCAACGACAGATCAACGCCGAGAGCTTTATCCTTTATCCTTCTATTAACCTTTTAGCAAACTATACTTTTTGCTAAGAAGTGGTGTTTGTCAAGAAGGATATGATCTTTTTGGAACATTTTTTTTACACCGTCATGAACTTCGTTAAGGCTTAGCTTATGTGAAATCTACAAACATTTGTCATGTTTAAAAGAACTGTAACCACATGCGTATACTCCATGTCTTTTCAGATGGCTCTGTACAAGAAGAGTGCTGTCTTCTTAGCAGACAAGATAAGGATGCCTGGCGGGAGTATGTCGTACACCCTCGATCCAGATGAAAGATTAGAGGCGGATATTTTGCGGCGTTGCTACAAACGAGATTTAGGAGAAGCCATTAAAGTAATAATTTATAATTTAGACTAAAATTTCTTGACCTCTGACTTATCCTGATACTTACGAATGTGGAATCTTTCGAAAACATTCGATGCAATGGCACCGTTTGTTCGTGGCGCGGAGGGGAACCCTGATGGTCACATATGTATGTAAAGGAAAAGACTGTTCACGGCAAAATATAGAGTTGAAAAAAAATAATTCACTGTTACTTGTTCTATGATGTTTACAGTTGCAAAGATGTTGTTATCTATTTTTAGCTTTACGATGTGGCAAGGGAGAGACTTCGGAATTTGGACACCACATTGCGTAACCTTAAGAAGCAGGAACCAAGGTAGATGCTTCTTATGTAGTTTTTCTGTCTACAACAGTTGTACTTGTGCTTTTTTTCTTACAGTTCCTTGGAAAAAACGCATTTTCTCACTTTCGAGTGTGCAAATTGACCACAGTGATGCTGAGATATAATGTCAATAATCCTGAAATACGTGCGAAACTCCGGACCGCAGATGCCTGCCGTGAGGAACGAACGCACTATTACCTTTCTGGGGGCTAACGCGTTCACCACCACACCATGAGGGTCCTTCTTTTCACGTGTTTTTCAGCTAGTTCTATTGGTTCGTGCCATCAGCAATTACCCTGTCAGCAGGATTGATCTAGGAAACCGAAATCGGCAATGATCCATGTTAAGCTGAAGCTAAAGTTATAATCACCACTTTAACTTATTATTACAATAAGTTAAAATGATACTGGGTTGTTTGCAAAACTGACTGCGGGTAGCACATGAAGGTCAATAACTTCGGTGAGAGATATGCGAAACGAAGGACTCGTATGGTGCGGTGGTGAGAGCGTTAGCCGCTGGAAAGGGTAGTAGCTTGTTAGGTCTCCACCGCAGACACCAGCGGTCCGGAGTTTTGCAAATTTTCTTAGCATCATTATGGTTATATATCCTGTCATTCTGTCCTTAAAATTTAGTAGGCGGGAAGTACAATGACTTACTTGATACTTGAACGACCCGTCATCACTAGTTGTGCGGGCCCCAGCATAATCACCATTTTTCGAAGATTTACTGGTTAAGCCATTGTGGTTCCCTGGAATCCCGAGGATAGCCTGGCTAAAGTATGCCCCAGGTCGTCACCACGACCAATAAAATGACGATATTAGGCAAATTAAGTTCTTCGTTAGCACTGAAGCAGGCATGTTGAGAAGTTACTTTGCATTTTTCAGTGAGGTCTACATGAATCAACGCGATCGTCGTCTTTTGGACTTTCACTTTGCAAACCTGGAATGTGTAAGCGGAGGGACTTTGGATAAGCTGTCGTTACAGTATTTCGATCAAGAGGATGAATTTCAGTTTTCTGGATCGCACATGGCCAGTACGTGTTTATATTTTAGTATTTTAGCTGCGGCCACTGTTTGATTGCATTATAATAAAAAAATGTTGTTTAAAGGGTAAAATTGAAGTGTGTTGCGTCAATCAGTCAAATGCCCTTTTTCATTCGTTGTAAATTATCCTATACAGTAAGAGTAAATTTCATTTGTTGCTCTCTCTGGATGATACCTGTCAGGTAGCCCACAGAATGTTTCAGTTACCCACAAACACCTCTTACAAAGTTTATCCGTTGTGAATTAGAGTATTTACTTGACAAATCTCCGTTCTGTTGGAGTAATAAATAAATAATAATAAGTTGGAGTACTCGTTGGAGTGATTTTTAGTTCGCGATGGATATGGTGATTTCCTGACTCGTCTAGTAACTAGTGATGTAGCCGGCTTCATTAGACAAAGTGCAGTCGTCGAAACTATCAAGTTCAACGAGAAAGGTGTTTTCTATCTCATTTCTGAACAATGATATGATATATTATAAATGTCTTTCATTAAAGTTATCTGCAAAAATTGTTGGAATTGATAAAACGTTAGCTACTTTTAATCAACGGATCCATCACACAGGTGTTGAAGTGCATTACAAGAAGGATGGAAAGGTCTCTATAGTCGAGGGCGATGTTTGTCTTTGTACCATTCCATTGGGAGTGTTGAAGCGATCAGTAAATGGATCCAATGATGCTCCAAAATTTGAGCCATTGTTACCAGAAAACACTGTGAATGCCATAAATGAGATGGGCTTTGGGAATTTTAATAAGGTATGTGCCGCCATTTTGGAGTTTTTTCTTTGTTACTTATTACTATTACTATTTTTTTCTTTCCTTTTTTTGTGGCGGGAGACCTTTTACCAGCATGGGATTTATAAGTTACGCTGCGTATTGTAGGTTGTCCTGATCTTTTCACGTCCTTTCTGGGACGTTACTCAAAACTATTTCGGTCATCTAAACCATTCGAAGTGAGTATTTCAATCTTTGCCTACTTAAAGAATATGAGTTGTTGTTTTAACCAGACAAAAAGAGATGTATGCTATCTTTACAGAGCATCTCGTGGAGAAATGTTTTTGTTTACTGCTCTTAACCAAGCGCCTGTTTTGATTGCAATGATGGCAGGCGAAGCAGCAAATTTGGAGGCACCAAATGAGGTTGAACTAGTATTTTTTTCTCCCACTTACCTTTTTGCTTTCTTACTCATTTTTTTTCTTCCTTTACCTCTTCACATGTGCATCTCAGTATGTTTTATTTTATATTTCCTGTTGATCTTTGGGTCTGGCTAATAGATTTTTTTCTCTCCTTCAGGTCATTGTACGTAAGGCTATGAATGTCTTGGCTAATATCTTCGGGTCAGCATGTCCGAAAGGGGTGAGAGTCTTGTATCGGTTTGGTTAACGGCACTTTCTTAAAATTATTTGTGACACCGTGAGATACAAATTTAGCCTGTCGAAGCAGTGATTACTCGTTGGCATAGGGACCCATTTGCCGGTGGATCATATGCCTACATACCATGTGGCAGCAGTGGTAAGCTTTTTTATGTTAGCTCTTCTGCAGAGTTGTCGAACTTCTGTGACTCTCTATTCAAAAAGTTAAAGTACAGAAGTCTATTCGGCCTAAACTTGAGCGCTATTTATGAAAATGAGATTGTGTTATATATAAGGTCATTCATTACTCAGGATTCATAAACAGTTATACATTTTCCACATGATGCGCCGAAGTTTTTATTCATTATACATGTAACTTCTTTATTAGGTGATTTATGTGATACGTTGGCCGAGCCTATTCGCGCTCGCAACGAAGACGGTTCTTACAGTGGTCCTGAACGAATTTTTTTCGCTGGTGAGCACACATGTGGACGGTATCCTGCTTCAGTTCACGTGAGGAATATATCATTTTTTAAATTATCAAGAATGTGGAGTGTTATTTTATATATTTATATATATATATATACATTGGAATTCGTGTATTTATATTACATTGTTTTCTGTACGAGAATAATACGACAATAGCAGTCGACATAATTTATCACATATCCAGGGTGCTTGGCTGAGTGGAGTTCGTGAGGCAGCTAGAATAGCTGGCGTCTTCCTTGGGTGTCCGTTCTCAGCGTCGCATTTGACTGATCCTGAATGTGTTCTCCTTGAAAGTGATGACGATGAAAATGGTGAAGGCAGTGCATGTGAGACCGAGGAACCAGAAGGTGATCGTGTTGGTGACGAAGAGGCCAAGGAGAACGGGACCAACCTTGAACGGTTTCCTACTATTAGGTTGTAACATTTGAAATGTTCGATCTTATTGTTTTAATTTTCCGTGTAATTTTTAAAAAATCCTTTTCTTTACGTATGTTAAAAATATATTTTTGAAGTACAAAGTCTGCACTTTCTATATAGAGCATTGGTTTTTCTTACGATTTATTACTTTAACGTTTTATAGGTTTTAACTTTTGTACGAATTAACGTGATATTCGTGTACTTTTTTTGTACGAGTGGAAGAGTGGACATAATGCGGCTGTAGGAGCTCTGAGTATCAATGCCGCGTCTGGAGACGGCTTTGTTAACGAACGCATCATTCGTCGTTGGTACACAAAGTTTGGATCCGCGGACGAGAGCCTTGCAAACGACGAGCGTGGTAGGCGAGGAATTACGGTAAACGATGAGGCACTTCATGCTCTATTCGAATCAAATCCACGTTATAACGGTCCGAGAACTTGCGACAAAGTTTGGAGTCAGTGCTATAACCATTTCACGTGACTTGCAATTCATCGGTAAAGTTAACAAAATGGACAAACGGACCACACGAACTCAACGAAAAGCAAAAAACTCAACGTCGAGAAAAAAAAACGCAACGTCAAAAAACTCACAGAAAACTGATAGACCGTAATGTGAATGGTTAAGGGCCTGCAGTGTAAGACACTCATATTCAATCCATGTGCGCGTATATGCTATGTTCTTCATTAAGTTTATGCACTTTCCAAGATCTCATTTGTAATTCATAGTTTGTAACGGTTGCGATCTGTTGTTCCATCCTCGTTATCTTTTCCATTTTTTAGAATGCCATCCAATTCAACCATAGTGCCACAGACTAATTGTTTGCAATACATGTGCGAAGAATAAAGGTAGGCGAAGTGCTTTGCGTTTAATACAGAATTCCCTCAATGGTTTATTGAAACACGCAGAGCTTTCTTACTGCACTGTTGATATTCAGTGCATAATTTTTCCAGTATAGATGCTTTATTAGGTATGGTCCATGAGGTGTTCTTTTGCGTTTCGTAGTCTACAAGGGTAAGGAAGTTTAGTATTGAAACCTCAAGTGCTGCCCATTTGGACAGTGATTGGCTATGACACGATGGCACGTCATTGAGCAGACTTTAAATTAGCTCGATACTCACATCATATGCGCTCAACAGTGTTATTTAGCGCGATATTTTAACAATTGAGTCGAATCACTACTACTCGAAAGATGGTGAAAGCGGCGAAGCTTGAACCGAGTAGAAGTTCGGTAACGATTTCGTGTAAGTTCAAGTACATATAACTAATATGACTTCCCAGATCCCATTGACGGGTGATTGCTGATGGTAAGTGATCGATAGAACAAGCTGAGAGACGGGCGAAACGAAGGACCCGCATGATGTGGTGATGACCACGTTACTCCCCGGAAAGAAAGGACAATAGCGCGTTCGTTTCCCACCGCAGACACCTGCGGTCCGGCGTTTTGCAAATAACTCAGCATTATATAAGTTTTAGAACTGCGTCAATTCAGTTTTAAGTAAATTACCTGCATGGTCGAGAATGACTATTCCTATAAATGACATGGAGTATTCGTTAATGTGCAAACCTATGTATTCCTCCCAAATCCCCACTGCACTGAAAAGTTGAAGTATCGATCGAGTGCTTTACGACCTGTCTTGTTGGAGATTTATTAATATGAGGCTATCAAATCTGTCTTCCCATAGAATGGGCCGCAATCGGATGACATGCAAGAGTAGGGCTGGAACTCCACCAGCTCAGCTGTGACAGGCTGGTAATCCTTATCTTAAGGCAGAGAGCGTCGATTCATTTCATCTCGTCACTATTTGTCGCTTGTTACGACATATCTTTATCGCATATCCGTTCATCTCAATCACAAACGGATCCCAAACATAGGCTATTCATAAGTCCAAGGAATGTGTCAGTTCTGTGTATCGAACAGGAATTCTCTGTTTATACCGTAATGACAGCTATCTAGCGGTTTTAGAGAATACATTTTTAGGCTACTCACCTCTAATTTTATCGCCAATAACTTTATCCTCTTCCTGAAATTTTTTTTCTTTGCGCTTTCGAACAGGATGCACGGGAAGTTCTACGTTGTCTTCCACATCTCCCCTCTTCATCATTTCACTTGCATTGAGGAGTCGATCTTTATTCAAATCTGTGCGATGGCCTTCAGTGTATATCTTCAGGACGATTGCAAAAAGGCCTCTTCTTCTGTAGGTGTGCTAATCTCTCAACTCAAGTTCTCTACTTATCGAGGAGCTTTATGAAGTTATCGTAACACCAGTATCATCCACTATGTGAGGCGTAGAAACTCAACTTTTGACCGGTAACTAACGCATTTCACTTGCAAGTGATATAATGAAACATGGTTGTCGTATGAGAAGAACGGATGTGAAAGTACTGAGACCTTCTCCATATATGTTATAAACCGACTATCACAACCTGACATTCCCAAGATTAATTGATGAGTGAGTTGTTGCAAGTTTGCAACCACCAAACAATGGATCTGCTCCCACTAATACGCCACAGGAAACCTGGTATCGTGGTAGATGTCTTGGTTGGGTGCTCTAATTCTTCATTATTTTTTCCCTGCTAATGCTTCATAGATATTAATCTTAATTTTGCACCAGTTTGAAACTAAGATTTTTGAGAACTGGGTTCTATTCCGGTGCGATTAGAACACTTCCATCTCGTCGTGAAGGATCTCTGATTTCTGTTGCTTTTCATTGGTAACGTTTATTATAGGTTGAGATTTGTGTTCTAATTTGAAACGAAATACACGCCACAGTTCTCAAAAATGTGTATTAAAGACTAAAAAAATGATCTAAGGATGAGGCATTTGGCATCGACGGATTTCTAAAAAATGAACAGTGTATTCGACTTTGTGAAGCATTTTTAGAGATGAAAGAATGCATATTTGGCCTACAGCGTCAATTACGGTAGCATTTTCCGATATATTAATGATATCCAGAAACTAAGGAAATTGCTGCCTTCCATGAGCTGAATTCAATGCTACCAAGACCATGTGAGTCAACACTAGAGGACGCATGTAGCGCAGTGTTCAGAGGCACCCTGCCAGTACACATGGAATCGATCCTCACGATTTCTAGAGACTGGTACATGCATAGTACGGTGGTGTTTACTTGTAAAGACCCCTGTAGAACTGCAGATTATTTGTCGGATGAAGGAAGGAACCTGTATAGTAATGGTGGTATTCGATTCTTTGCGTTGCTAGTTGTTTGACCTACAGAAGAACTCATTTAAACATTACCGATAGTAAGGACCAGAATGGACTTCTCAAGAAGAAAAATGGGACATTGAGAAAGTAATTATTATATGTGCGCGATCCTACATCTCTTCACTTCCATTTTCATCGAAATCGTTGGTAGTTGAGTTCTCTTATCGGTCTAAGCTGTTCTCTAGCATGAACGAAGATCTTATCTTTAAATCTTTAGGCGTATCTTTAAAATACCGGTAAAACACTATCAGTAAATGTGTCGTTTTCTTGTTCAGCAATCGCGAGGTTTTTAAACAGCATACATTTACTTCCATAAAAACACAATGCAATACAACGCTAGCTGACGTTTCGGCAGTATCGCCTTCTTCAGAGCCTGGAAGGGTATACTGGTATACAATCTACTAGGTCAAACGCTTCAATAACACTTACACAAAGACGAAAGACTCTTTGGTAATTACACGATCAACAACTTCTCGAAAAACCCACCGCTTTTTTCGTGACTTCCAATGAGGAAGTTTAGAACAGCTGATTATAGTCGCATGTGGTTGACGACTGCACCATCCCACATAAAAAATCGATGCGAACGTACGGGATCAGGTCGCGTATGACCTCCGGGCATTCGTCCCTTCTATTCATTGTAGGGTTTTTGGCATTGATCCAAAAAGCCTCTAGGAGTTTTCGCGCTGCTGTTTTGGACTCCTGTGCAAGGATATTGACTTTTACTTCAAAATCTTCTCCGTTATGCTTTTGTATCCAATGCGTGCCTAGTGGGGTGCTTCGTCTTAGTTTTCGTTTGCCATCTAGGTGTTCTTTTATACGGATACACAAAGGTCTGCCCGTCTCGCCAATATATTCATCTCCGCAATTGTTACACGAGATCAGGTATATCATGCCTGAACTCATGCAATCACCGTCCCTGCCGTAAGGGCAAATTACGCAATTTGTTGTTTCACACAGACGGTCATACTGGCGGTTGTGAACTAATTGGCGACGTAGAGTAGTCGGTGGTATTTCAACTATCGCTACCGATTCCTCTAGACCTGCCCTTCTTAAGCATCGTTTTATAGCTGCGCTTACTTCATCGCTTATAAAAGGCAACACAAACGGGATTTTGTTTTGGCCAAGTGTTTCGCGTGGGCGCGTCATTCAATCGTGGGGTTACTATTTCGTAGCCATTGGAGATGGCTATTTGCCGAGCCAAGTCGCGCGATTCTTCCTTTAGTTCCCTGGCAGTGCACACAGAGGTGGCTGTTCGAAACATGTTTCTAGCGAAAAAAGTATGCGATGGCGCATTGACGAATGTCCTATTTGAACACCGAACCACTCTGACTTATTCATTTACAGTACAGTTACATTTATATCATCAGAGGTTTACAATTTTGACCTAGCTAAGCGATTGTGAGCTTCAATTTTAAGCTACAGCAAACTCATCGCAGTATTTTCCTCAGTGGCAACAGGTTCTGTGGTGGACCCTCTTCACTAACACTAGTCACTACCCATAAAGTAACCTCGTCCGATA